TATCTTCACATAGTTATGAAAACATATGCATTCTCCAGGAATGTAAAGATTACAAGAAAATTAGATAATAAACGAAGAAAAAACTGAAATCTTAAAAAAAAATCCCCCCCCCCAAAAAAAAATATTTTGGGACTGATGAAAGTAACATATACAGTATTAACATTGGACAATGTATTTATATGATATATAACAAAATAGATCATATTACATAGTTATTCATTATTATTTGTGTTATTATTTATTACTCAGTAATGATATAAAGGCACTAGCTGCATATCCACTTTGTGGACACTTCTTACTACTATTGTTCTTCTTTGAGCATAGGACAGGTGCTTGCTTCTCTTTATTACTGCATAATCCTTTGGTTCCAGTTATTAGGAGCTGTTCTCCTTATCAATAAAACTTTCTTATTTTTAAAAAATTCGTCTTATATCAATTTCTGAAAATATTTTGATGAAAGTTTCACGACACTGAAGCCAATAAGTTGGAGATTTATTTAACATTTATAAGTTATTTTTACATAATTTAAATATTTTTTGCTACTTTACTCCTTATATTCGCAGAAATATGCGTGGTCTAAGGGTTAAGGAAATTCTTGTTTCAATTCTTCCTTCGTAGTCTAACACTCAAATTTTTCATCATGTGTTATTTTTCGGGATTTACACCCATATACTGTAATTATACAGTGGAACCTAGAGCAACAAGCGGCTCCAGTTACGATCATTTCGAGTAACGAGCAAGCCACTCGCAGAAAATGTCTTGACTGACGAGCTTGCACTCGATTAACGAGGGTTCCCGCTGGTTCTCAGACACCTCTGACGACAGTTTTGTTGTTGTTTCCCATGATGGGTTCTCCATATGACGAGCTTGGTGCCGGAACGGATTAAACTCGTTAATCGAGGTGCCACTGTATATATATATATATATATATATATATATATATATATATATATATATATATATATATATATATATATATATATATATATATATATATATATATGTCGTACCTAGTAGCCAGAACGCACTTCTCAGCCTACTATGCAAGGCCCGATTTGCCTAATAAGCCAAGTTTTCCTGAAATAATATATTTTCTCTAATTTTTTTCTTATGAAATGATAAAGCTACCCATTTCATTATGTATGAGGTCAATTTTTTGTTATTGGAGTTAAAATTAACGTAGATATATGACCGAACCTAACCAACCCTACCTAACCTAACCTATCTTTATAGGTTAGGTTAGGTTAGGTATCAGAAAAAGTTAGGTTAGGTAGGTTAGGTAGTTGAAAAAACATTATTTCATGAAAACTTGGCTTATTAGGCAAATCGGGCCTTGCATAGTAGGCTGAGAAGTGCATTCTGGCTACTAGGTACGACATATATATATACAGTATATGCGAACAAGCCAATACTTTTTTTTTTTTTTTTTTTTTTTTTTTTTGAGATATATACAAGAGTTGTTACATTCTTGTACAGCCACTAGTACACGTAGCGTTTCGGGCAAATCCTTAATCCTATGGTCCCTGGAATACGATCCCCTGCCGCGAAGAATCGTTTTTTCATCCAAGTACACATTTTACTGTTGCGTTAAACAGAGGCTACAGTTAAGGAATTGCGCCCAGTAAATCCTCCCCGGCCAGGATACGAACCCATGACATAGCGCTCGCGGAACGCCAGGCGAGTGTCTTACCACTACACCACGGAGACTGCATAAAGTATTATGGAGAACCAATACTCCATACTATGGAGTATTGGTTCGAGTCACTTCTGGGGTGTGAGTTTTCAGTCGCATATAGTCCTGGGGACCATTCAGGCTTGTTTGCATTTGTGTTCCTCACGTGTGCCCCAAAGAATGAGGTGATTTGCTAAAATGCTATGCCCAAGATTACCATCCGAGTGCCGGTGGGAAAGTGGTTCAAATAGCTTCGGCTATCACTTCCTTTTGTCCGGTCGTGATGGTCAAGCGGATTAAGGCGTCCTGTAGATACCAGTTGCGTTGCTCCTGGGAATATGGGTTCGAGTCACTTCTGGGGTGTGAGTTTTCATCAAATTAGCATGAAAAATAATAAAATGTCACCAAATGTTATTTTATTCATTATGGTCTCAGCATGGTATATAACGTTCATGTTCCTCGCTGAAAAATATTGTTTGAGAGTATAGTTTACTGTAAAAAAAAAAAAATGGCCATCCAAATATGTGCAAAATTTAGACACAAAAAAATTATAACTCGAAGCGCTATGGCTTTATGACTAAATGACCATGAAGACACCTTAGAACTAAGAACGTTTCACATAATATGTAAAAATAGTGAGAATCGGTTAGAAACTTAATTTTTGATGCTGTCTCAAAGTTGATATTCATGTTTTAGAGATAATTGAAGTTGACATTATTGACAATGAATATGGCAGTTCTAATTAATGAATTTTCTTGTAGGTTTTAATGAACATTGCTTGGCATTCCTACTTGAATATGTGAAAGCTGTAGGTCAATATGTGTTGAAATGAGTCAAGAAAAAATAACCCCCCAAAAAACAAAATATAGGAATAGGTTAAGGATAACAAACATATATATATTGCAGTAACTTTTATTGCTCATATATAAGTGATAAGACCCTCATCTGGTCCTTATTCATCAATAATAACATACTCATTATTATGCGTGAAATCTGGCCCTCCAGGTGGCACCAGCGGTATATCCACTTTGTGGACCCTCCTTGCTATTACTATTCTTCTTTGTGCATCAGACATGTGCTTGAATCTCTTTATCCATGATTTTCAGTAAATAGGAGGCATTATCGTTATTATCAGTACCAGTTGCCGCCCATCTTGCACGCATTTATTTTTAACAAATTTGTAAAAAATTCATTTCTTAACATATTGGGATGAAAATTTCATGACGCTGATGCCAAATAACGAGAGATTTGTTTAAATTTTTTCCACTATGTTTCATATTTGGAAAAATACTCCTCAGTCACCAGGCCCCTTAATACCCCCTCATACACCCTTCACTATTTCCTCCCTTCCTGCCCACACATGCTCTGCCTCCATCCCTCCCTCCTTGTCCACACATGGCCATCCCCTGTCACGTAAAACATGACTCCTGTGATCCCCTTGGATGTTTCACTGAATGTTTATCACTTGTTTCTCTTTATTCTTTATTTACAAGAATGTGTGTGTTGAATAACTTGATAAATCACATAAGTCACATAACACATGATAATGTTTCAATTGATGATTGATTTATCTGGTATGCTTCATTACAACCATATAGAGTAGTGAAAATGATATGAACATAATATGCAGTGGTGTTGGGCATTGGACGATGACATAGGGCCTAATTGGCACCATGTGGCTGAGAGTATATGAGTGAAACAATGGCATAAGTCACCAATATTCCACCCAAAGATGATGGCAGGCTCCTAGTACACGTAATACATGATTGTGATTCAACTGATGATTGGTTAACCTGATATACCTCATTACAATTATATAGAGTTGTGTAAACCATATGAACATCATTGGCATACATATCATGTAATTATGATGTAATTTTATACAGGGACGATGACCACATTCTCCTATTAACATTCATGATGATAACAACATTCACATACTAATGCAACCATGAAAGACTTGAAGATCTTGAAGAAAGTTAAGATTTTTTATCATCAAAGATTTTAACTAGAAATCATGGAATTAAACTGAGAGAGAAAATCCACAGGAGTCATGATGAGGATTTGAACCTATGCGCTGGGTATTCCCAGATGCACGCTCTAGATGACTATGCCATGACATGGTCAAAAGAATTGCAACCTGAGGTACACAGCACTCTTGAGGATTCCTCGAGGACAGAGCCAGAGTGCATGAAGGAATTGTGTGAAACCCTGGTTTGGCTTCATTAGGAGCCTCGGGAATCCTCGAGGGTGCAGTAGTATCCCTGGTAGCAATTCGTTTGACCATGTCGTGGCGTAGTCGTCTATCGCGTGCATCTGGGAACAACCAGTGCATAGGTTCAAATCCTCATCATGGCTCCTGTGGATTTTCTCATTGATATATCACGATAACATGATTTCTCTGTGTATTTAATTAAGTGATGTAAGAAGTCAAACGGACCTACTTTATGTAAGATTTTTTTTAGTGATAGGGTTGTGGGGAGTGGAATGATGTATGAGTGCATATAGCAAGTGTGAATACGGCAAACATGCGTTAAAGGGTGGCCTGAATGCCCACTCCCAGTCAATAACAGCTTGAGTAGATGAATGTGCTGTATATAATTGAGAAGGTCTACACAAAATTCTTGTTTTGGATCATTAGATCTTCTGTTATCTGTGAACCCTATGTGATCCTCCTCCTCCACACTTGCTCTTCTCCCTACTCCCTATCTCCCTGGGCTTTATCATTCTCATGATAAATACCTACAATATTTGTATTTTTCTGCCTGCTTCAATTCTTTTTTCTCTTCCACCTCCATTTGCTCCTCTTCTACTATCTATTGTTCTTCTTCTACCTCCTCCTTCCATCACCACCTCTTCCGCCTTCCATTCCTCCCCCACTTTCTCCAATTCTTCTTCCACTTCCTCTTAGACTTCTTGCTGCTGCTTCTGTTACTTGTCCTCTCCCTCTTTCTATGTCATCAGCACCATCCTCCCTCTGCTTCCTCCTCCTCCTTTTTTCTTCTTCCTCATAATCATTATTATTATTACTCAATCATCTAATCATCATTTGTTTTAATTCTCTCTTCTCTTTGCACACTCATCGTAATTTGTAATGAATCGTTTATGCACTGATTATTTGTAATGTTAACATTTGTACATTGAAATGAGTGATATTTGAACAGATTGAAACCTTTTTTTATGACAATCACACACACACACACACACACACACACACACACACATGTTTATATGCACATATACACACACAAGGATATACACATTCCTGTGCACATGTACGTGAATAACCTACCTGAAAAGATCGAATCCTTGATGTCAATGTTTGCAGATGATGTGAAACTACTGAGAAGAATAGAAATTGAAGAGGAATAGAAATTGAAGAACTGCACGAGGACATGGACAAGCTGCAGGAGTGGTCCAACAAGTGGCTACTCGAGTTCAACCCTAACAAGTGCAAGGTAATGAGGATTGGAGCTGGAGAAAGGAGGGTGGTGGTATTGAATCAACTGAGAGGGAAATACATACACACAGGATACCTTCAGCACTATGCAAGGTTGACAAATGTAACAACAGCCTTCAGGCATCAAAAAAATATACCCACACTTTCTCCACCACATAAGAAAGCTCAAGAATGTCCAAAGAGTTGCCACTAGGCTAGTCTTTGAGATGAAAGACCTGAACTATGAGGACAGGCTGAAAGAAAATCTCACATCTCTGGAGATATGAAGATGCAGATGGGACATGGTCACGACACACAAGATCCAAGGTGAACAAAAGACAGGCTGTTTAAATGGGTGGGACCCACACAGGGGACACAGATGGAAACTGAATACCTGATTGAATCAAAATATTACTGTACAAGAAAGTTCTTTCAGCATAAGGAAAATGAACAAAATTATACTAGAAAAGCAGGTAGTGGAATCCAATTCCATGCTTGGATTCTAATGTAAATAAAATTAAAAACTTTCTGGGTTAGGCAACCATGGAACTCCTTGATTAATGGTTAATTTAGGAAGCAGAGCCAGTACTGTATATTGGAACTCATTCTCATTAACACACTTAGGCAAGTTGAGATACTGTACATGAAAATATTAATATGCACAATGTACATTGACCGGGTAGGTAGAGGTACTGTAGTATATTTGAAATATGATGGACCACGACAGTGCGAACAAATAGAAAGCGAGTGATGAAATAAGAGATATACAGTAAAAGGAAATTTCTTCAATGTGAAGGTAGTGAGTGGAGCATCCTGAAAGAGAAAGTAGTATTTGAATTGTCACACCAATTGATTTATTTATCTTTACTTACCTCTCAGCCAGTTTCTAGTCATATTGGGTGTGGCTTGGCTTCCATGGAGCTCTTTTCCATGGCATTCGAAGGTTCTCTCTCCATTTTCTCTTGAGTTTTCAAATGCTCTGTATTTTAACCATAGAACAGCTTTTGCTCTGATGACTTTATCAGATATGTTATTCTTTAGGTTTATTAATTCCTTGGAGAAGTATATCCTGTAGTCAGATCTTCATTGTACCCTGTAACTTGGCAAGTGTCATGATAAACATCTTGAAGTGTCTTTGGTTTAGCTTATCAGTCTTGTTCAATATCTTAACTTTATACAAGGTCGTTTTTTTTTTGCTGTCTTGTTTGAAGAGTTGTCGGTGTTCTCTTGCTTAGAAGAGCTATTAACATGAGGATCTCCAAAGAATTTGTAAAGTGAATGATTGTTTACTTCCAGAGAAACATTTCCGTGATTCAAAGAGCTTTGTTAACCTTTTTTTTTTTGTGAATGCTTCTACTTTGCTGTTCTTACATCAGGAACTATCATGTTAAGGCTCTTTTCATTTTCCATTGATAGCCATATTTTGCGACTGTTTATTATTATTTCTTTATTTTTTAACAAACCTGTAAATATAGTGATGTTTGAGATACTGTATGTACTGTGTAAATGTTGTAGATGTAGATTTAAAACACAATGAATTCTTCTACTCAAAATGCTATTCTACTCAAACTGTACTCCATTTAGGGTAATTTTGTTTACCCATGTTTCATCCATTATTTTGTCCTTGTAATTTGCTGATAATTACTTAAGTGTAGTTACAGTACGAGAACTACGATTGTGGTGGTCCGCCTTCCTAGCACTTGTTGTCATATAATGTTTTGAAATTAATGATGCTTTTGGCCTCCACCACCTTCTCAACTAATTTGTTCCATCTGTCTACCACTCTGCAAAAGTGAATTTTCTTATATTTCTTCAGCAGCTTTGTATAGTTTAAATCTATGACCTCTTGTTCTTGTTCTAGGTAAATACCTAATTGATGGGATTCTGGGAGTTCTACTCCCCATGCCCAGCCCGAGGCTAGGCTTGACTTGTGAGAGCTTGGTTCACTAGGTTGTTGCTTGGAGCGGCCAGCAGGCCAGCATATCCAACACAGCCTGGTTGGTCTGGCACTCCTTGGAGAAAACTATTGGGTCTTCTCTTGATGATGTCCACGGTTGTTCCAACAATATTTCTTATACTCACTGGAAGGATGTTGAACAACCGTGAACCTCTGATGTTTTATACAGTTTTCTCTGATTGTGCCTATGGCACCTCTGCTCTTCATTGGTTCTATTCTGCATTTTCTTCCATATCTTTCACTCCAGTATGTTATAATTTTACTGTGTAGATCTGGGACTTGGCCCTCCAGTATTTTCCACGCGTAAGTATTTTTTTATAGCTCTCTCGTCTCCTTTCTAGTGAGTACATTTGGAGAGCTTTGAGACGACCCCAATAATTTAGGGGCTTTATCGCATCTATGTATGTCGTGTATCGCATCTCTGTATTCCCTCCATTTCAGCAATCTCTCCTGCTTTGAAGGGGAAAATGAGTACAGTACTGAGCAATGCTCAAGACGAGACAGTACAAGTGATTTGTATAGTACAACCATTGTGATGGGATCCCTGGATTTGTAAGCTCTCGTAATCCATCCTATCATTTTTCTGGCTGACACAATATTTGCTTGGTTATACTTCCTAAACATTAGGTCGTCAGACATTATTCCCAAATCCTTTACATGCTGCTTTCCTAATATGGGCAGATTTGATTATGTTTTGTGCCCTGTATTATGTTTAATGTTCTAATTTTTACCATACCTGAGTACCTGGAATTTATCACAGTTAAGCATCATGTTATTTTCTGTTACCCAGTCAAAAACTTTATTAATATCTACTTGAAGTTTTTCAATGTCTTCAGCAGAGGTAATTTTCATGCTGATTTTTGTGTCATCTGGAAAGGATGATACGAAGCTGTGATTTGTATTTTTATTTATATCTGATATGAGAATAAGGAAAAGCAGTGGTGCAAGGACTGTACCCTGAGGTACAGAGCTTTTAACTGTACTTATACTCGATTATATATGGTTGACTGTTACTCCTTGTGTTCTGTTAGACAGAAAACTGAATATTCAGCGTCCTACTTAACCTGTTATTCCCATTGACCTCATTTTGTGTGGTATTACTCCATGGTCACTTTTATCGAATGCCTTTGTGAAGTCCGTGTATACAACATCTGCATTCTGTTTTTCTTCGAATGCCTCAGTGTCTTTGTCGTAGTGGTCAAGTAGCTGTGAGAGGCGCGATCTTTCCGCTCTAAATTCATGTTGGCCTGGGTTGTGTAGGTCATTGGTCTCCATGAAACTGGTGACCTTACTCCTAATCAGGTCTACGTGGTGTAGTGGTAAGACACTCGCCTGGGGTTCCGCGAGCGCTTTGTCATGGGTTCATATTCTGGCTGGGGAGGATTTACTGGGTGCAAATCCTTAACTGTAGCCTTTGTTTAATGCAACAGTAAAATGTGCACTTGGTTGTAAAAACGATTCTTCGCGGCGGGGATCATATTCCAGGGACCTGCCTGAAATGCTATGCCTACTAGTGGCTGTACAAGAATGTAACAACTCTTGTATATATCTCAAAAAAAAAAAAAAAATCACTCAAATACTTTTTGGGATGTTAGTGCAACTGGTTTATAATTCTTTTCCAATACTTTGTTCCCTCCCTTGTGTAGAGGGCCTATATCTGCTGCTTTAACCACTGCATTATGCAACGTGTCTGTAGGTGCTTGACGGGTGGTGCGCAACGCGCCTGTAGGCGCTCGATGGGTGGTGAGCAACGCACCTTGAGGCGCTCAATGGGTGGTGCACAACGCACCTGTAAGTGCTTGATGGTTGGTGCACAACGTGTCTGTAAGTGCTTGACGGTTGGTGCACAATGTGCCTGTAGGAGTACGACGGGTGGTGCGCAACGCACCTTGAGGCGCTCAACGGGTGGTGCACAACACACCTGTAAGTGCTTGACGGTTAGTGCACAACGTGTCTGTAAGTGCTTGACGGTTGGTGCACAACGTGTCTGTAAGTGCTTGACGGTTGGTGCACAACGTGTCTGTAAGTGCTTGACGGTTGGTGCACAACGTGTCTGTAAGTGCTTGATGGTTGGTGCACAACGTGCCTGTAGGAGTACGACGGGTGGTGTGCAACGCACCTTGAGGCGCTCGATGGAGGGCGCACAACGCTCCTCGGGGATCTTATAGGTATAGCGTATGATTCAAAACTCCCGCGGCTACATGGGGTTCACATCAGCTTCCTCAGGGCTTTCTTAAACAGACTCCATTTAAAAAAAAATCGTGGGCAACATTCCCACGGTGTGAAGGCCTCAGTACTGAGTGAGCAACCAAGGCTGCAACACGCAGCATGAGCTCACAATAATGCTGTTCAGCTTGTGACCACAGCATTGCCTAATAATGTCAAAATATATATGTAACTGGTATTATTTAGCCATGATAGTATTATAGAAGAGCCCAAGTGTGATAAAGACTGCGTACAATGTTCAAATATCAGTGAATCAATACTTTTCAAGATGTTCACAGTGCTAGCTACAGCACCACAACATTATTTTGTCCATCTAGGAATCTCCAAATGACTTCTTATGTTCCTTTACAAAATAAATTTGTGGTCAACTATTCATTTACAGGATTTAGTGACCAGAATTATGATAATAGCAGGATTGTGGTGATAATTAGCACTGTGCGTTGTATTGTGGGAGGAGGAATTTTGGTGAGAGAGGGAGGGAATCCATGTAGCTTCACTGTGTGTGGCAGCCACTCTTGTTTGGGCTCACCATACTAGCTTAGTGGTTAGCTATGGTGAACACAAATGTAGATACTTACATATAACATGTGCATATAGTGTAATAACAGCAACAGGAGTATGTTGGTAGGAGCCATTTTGGTGAGGGAAGTGGCGTCGTACTCGTAGCGTCGTCTGCTATGTGACTTGTCATGCAGTGTATGGTGGCCACTGCTGTTTGGACACAATACCAGCTTAGTTAATACCAGCTTAGTTGTATAGTTATGGTGAATAAAACATGTAGATACTTATACATAAAGTGTGTAAATAGTGTAATAAAAACAATAACAGTATGGTGG